TTTCTTCAATCAACCACATTCCCAGAGAGGCCCAACACTCAGGAGCAGTGGGCCAATACAAAAAACAGACTCCATGATTGTTGGGATTCTTTGCAGGAGGTGGGGTGGGGGAGAATGGGATGGGAGGGTGCCTTTTTTTAAGATCCTTGGTCCCATGAAGGCTGGACGCCAAGTGTGGAGGAATTTGAGGGTGGGGAGGTAGGAGTGGGGGGGGGTAAGGTGGGGGCACATCCTCATAGAAGTAGGAGAAGGGGGGATGGGATGGGGGGTCCCTGGGTGGGAGGGGGATAGGGTAAGGGGATAACATCTGAAATGTAAATAAAATATCCAATAAAAAAATTTAAAAAAAAGAAAGAAAAAGAAAACATGAAGTTGATTAGATAGGGAGAGGAGTAGATCTGGAAACAGATAGGGAAAGAGAAAGAATGGAATCAAAATGTATAAAAACTTCTATGAAAAAATTTAAATATATAAAAATTAAATCATTAACTAAAACCATAAAAAATATTTAAGTCCTTAAATACAAACAAAGTGTTAGTTCCTGCAAAACCTAGAACTGGAAGACACAGGATTCATCAGCTGATTGATGCAGAGAAAAAAGAAACTTGAAAATTAAAAGCCCATCTGCTATTTTTTAAAAATAATCTGACCAAACAAGAAATGGAAACACTCTTAATGTAATCTGACAGAGTGGCCACTAAAAATTATAGAATATATTATTCTTATTGGTAAAACATAAACATGAGCAAAACTCTCTTGGGGATAGAAATATAATGATTACATTCATCATTTCTATTTGCAAATGTAATACAGGGCTGCGCCAGTGCCGTGAGTAAAAACACGGGCCACTGCAAAGGCTGGCCAGCATCCACAGACAATCAAAGAAAACAAAAATCCCCTATAGAGCAAATGTGGGAACTGGATGAGTCATACCTACGCACTGAATCCAGCAGTGTGAACAGATAAATCTGAGCTCAATTTCACACTGTGGAATAATGCATTAGAAATAAGGCTGAGAGCACAAGACAAGTCACAGGTGACTGTGTGCCATGGGGACACTTCTGCTACACTCAAAACCAAGCTATACAGCAAATTACTCAAGAATATAAGTGGCTGTGTGTGTGTGTGTGTGTGTGTGTGTGTGTGTGTGTTTTGAGTATAAGCACACACCGACTATAACATACATGCAGAGGTCAGAGGACAACGTCAGGTGTTGGTCCTCTTCTACCTGGACTAAGACAGGGTCTCTCCTGTTTACTGCTGTGTATGCAAGGTTAGCTGGCCTGAGAGCTTCTGGCAATTCTCCCACCTCACCCTCCAATCTCTTAGTAGGGGTATGCTGGAATTTTAGACACTTGCTTTACAGTATCTGGCTTTTCAAGTGGGTTCTGGGGAATCCCAACTCAAATTGTCAGGCTTGTGTGGCAAGCACTCTACCAGCTGAACTATCACCCACAGACAGGTAATACACTTTTCCCCTCAAGACAAAGTCTCTATGTAGCTCCGGCTATCCTGGAACTCACTATGAAGTCCAGGGTGGCCTTGAATTCAGAGATCCACCTGCCTCTGCCTGCCTAGTGCTAAGATTAAAGGCATGCATCATTACAACGAGCTCAGTTAATACTCCTTTTAAAAGGAGAAAGAAGATGCTTGGGATTGAATGTCTCCAGAGGTAAGGAAGAGGTTATCAAGGAGGAATACCTCCTTTTAGTAGTAGCTTCTAGTCTTCAAAATGGGGCAGGAGGTTGTCAGGATCACAAGGTTTGTATCAGGCTTTGTAATGTTAAAATGTTAGATTCTTTAGTAAATTTATACCTTGTAATAGAAATAAATGAAATTAATAAAACAAATAATAGTTAACAGATTTAAGCAGTGGAATCATTAATTAATTAATGCTCCTGGTAAAAATAACGACTTTGCACAAGCTTGACTCACTGGAGGGTAACCACAGGAAATACAATGAGAATGATAAAATAATGCCATGACACAAGCGAGGGAGAGACACCCTCCCTGATCCCTTGCCTGGCCACCTTTGGTGGTGGTCTGTCCCCAGGGTCATGAGATAGGGAGAGCTTGCTCTGCCCCTCACAAGCAGCAGAATTGAGGAAAGCAGGCCCTGCACCTCACCTAGGCAACAAAGTAGAGCTGGCCCTGGTTGCAGAGACTACAGATGAGCCAGCCAGACGGGCATAAGAGCTAGAGAGCTGGTTCTGTTACTTGCCAGCTAGGGCACTGGACAAGCTAGTCAGAGCAGTGCTGAGGAACTCACCCTAGCAGTGTGAGTGCTGGAGAGCTGGCAAGATGACCAGCTCAGGTACCTCCCAGGCCCATATCCAGGTTTTGAGCTGGCCCACCCCAACACCTACCACGTCATAATACGTCCCATGCCATCATTTACTCCATTCAAACAACCCCTCAGAATTCACCCACAGATTGTTCTTCTGATTTCCCTCCAGTCAGGTCTGCACATGTGGCCTTTCCTTAAAGTCACACATTTTTCTTCTTTGGGCTAGAGAGACAGCTTAACTAGAAAAGTCCTTTTCATACAAGCACACATGGTGGTGCCTGTGTGTAATCCCAGTGCTGAGAAAGCAAAGACAGGAGGATTCCTGGAGCTTTCTGGCCAGCCAGCATAGCCTAAGCAGGGAACTCTAGATCCTGGTGAGAGACCCTGGTTCAAAACAGAAAGAAACAAAAAGCCAGAGTGATTACTAAAGACCATCCAAGGCTGATTTCTGGCCTTCACAGATATGTATACACAAATGCACACATGTGTGTGTGCACACACATGGACTTTATCTTCTTACAGCAAACTATGCACACACCATTACAAGCTATGTATAAATGTTGTTTTTATTTCCTCAGATGAAGGGATGAAATGTGTGTTCCAACACACAGCTTGGGCTGAGCCCAGAGTATTTCCTTCTCTGTTCTAACTATCCCTGGGCCCAGGCCTGAAGCTTCTAGCCTCTATACATTCTAACCTTCCAAGCTGACTGATTCAATTCGGTTTGGCTTCTGACTGAATTGTTCTGCCTGGCCTAATACTAATTTTGGTAATATATTCTAATCTAGCTTCTTTTCATTCTCTGGCTCTTTCTGTCTTTACCTGTTTCTAGCTTATTCTCTCTGCAACCTGTCTGTTCTCATGAGGGTTGGGCATATCTGATCTCTGACTCATTCTGTCAAATTGTTCTCTGATTCGTCACTTTGCCCTTCAATTAGATGTCACTTTCAAACATGACTGTTTCCTTCTACAAACTAACTTTTTCTTCATTGTTAGGGATTAAAGTTGTGTATTAATGGCATATCTATTTTCCAGGCAAAGCATACTGTGTGTTTGCATTCTGGCAGGATTATATAAACCTACAAGGTCTTTGGATCTGATCCTTTGCCAGAACAGCCATGTTGCTGGATTAAAATTCTTCTACACTATGAATGAATTAACATTCAGAATTTATAACCCAGGGGCCAGCTAGGTGGTTCAGTCTAAAAGGTAGTTGCCTTTGCTCCCCAGAACCCACTTGGTGAAAGGATAGGACAAAGTCCCAAAAGTTGCCATCTGACCTACACATATGCACTGTGAAAATGCACATGTGCACAGCAACTTAATAAGTAAGTGTTTCACTTAATTTGTAAGTTACTGATTTATAAGTCAGGCACAGTGGTATACATCTTTAATCTTAGCAATTAGAAGGTAGATGTAGGTGGATTTCTGAGAGCTTGAGGCTAGCGTAATCTACATAGAGAGTTCTAGGACGGTTGGGGCTTTGTAGAGAGACTCTGTCTCAAAAAAAGGAGGAAGAAAAGAAGCCTTGTAATTCAGCTCTGAGTCTTGTTCTTCTGGTTTCCATAATCTAGCACTTGCCTAATACACTTAAGTAAGAAGAATTTTATACTTAACACACCAAAAACACTGCCAAAAGCGGGATGTGGAAGCACATCTCTTCTAGTTCTAGACTAGCCTGTTATACATGAAGTTCTAGGACAGCGAGGGCTACACGGAGAGACCCACAGAAACAAAAACAAACAGAAAATCCAAAAAGCTGCCGAGGCTGGTAGAATGGTTCAGCAGGTAAAAGCCCCTGCTATCAAGCCTGACAACCTGAGCTCAATGACACGGTGAAAAGAGAGACCGTACTGTCACAGATTGTCACTTCACCCTCACATGCTTGCTGTGGGGAATGCCTGCGGCACACTTCTGCACATGTACTCAAATAAAATCTAACTTAATTTTAAAAAAAACACAGCCAAAAATTATTTCAACTTTAAAGAGTACCTACATTCACAGATGTAGATATGACAAAATTATAAGCCCACCACTAGTCAAAAATAACCTATTGAGGGGCTGAAGAGTCGCCATAGTTAAGAGCTGCATTGGCTGCTCTTCCAGAGAAGCTAGGTAGAATCCCAGCACACACACGGGAGCTAACAACCATCTATAACTCCAGTCCTAGGGGATCTGACGCCCTTTTCTAGCCTCCAAGGGTACATACGTAGTACACAGACACACATGCATGCAACATAACCCCATCCACATGCATAAAAATAAATAATTTTAAAACTATTACATATATGTGGGAAAACATGTCAGATTCACATGTAAGACAAGTCATATGGAGTTTGAGGGATAGAGAACATTTATGCAAGATTCACATAAAAGTTCATATAGAAAGGAAAACAGCAAAAGCTATTACTATTTAAAATTTGTTTACTCTTCCAACTAGTATCTTTACATTTAGGTGTTCATACAGGGGAAACTTCTACACATTTTTTAAAAAGAAAAAATCACATAAACATTCTTAACGGTATTGTGATAAAACATGGGTAGAAGGCAGGAAAGAGGGCAGAGCACAGCCATGCACAGCCATTACTACTGCACAGGGAAAATTAAGGATCAACTAAGGTATCTTATTTCTAACAAGGATTTTAAGAGCTATAATAATAACAATAACATTAATAATAATAATAATAATAATAATAATAATAACAAAACTTACTTCAAAAAGAAAAAGGATGGAGTCCAGCTCCTCCCTTTGTGACTTATTATTCCCTGGAAATTAAGGAAAAGAAATTAGTCAACAAGCTAGCACTTAAGCTTTAGAACGTCACACATGATGTTGGCAAGCATCTTGAATGCTGAAGCCATGCATGGGAACTACTGGGGAAGGGCACTGCTAGGAACGCACAGACACTGAAATGACACATCAAGTCCGTGTCACTGCAGCCACCCTCAACTCTCCTGTACTAGCCCTTCATACAGGACTTCCAGGTTTTCTTTTTTTTTTTTTTAATTTTTATTTATTTATTATATGTAAGTACACTGTAGCTGTCTTCAGACACCCCACAAGAGGGCATCAGATATCATTACAGATGGTTGTTAGCCACCATGTGGTTGCTAGGATTTGAACTCATGACCTCTGGAAGAGCAATCAGTGCTCTTAACCACTGAGCCATCTCTCCAGCCCCCGACTTCCAGGTTTTCTAATTGTTTGTTTTTTCCTTATTCACTTTACATCCCACTCACTGCCCCTCCCAGTCATCCCCTCCCACAATCCTTCCCCCTCCCCTCCTCTATGATTTCTTAACTAGGTACTAAGTAGCTCAAATTACAGTAAAATGAACAGGAAAAACAATGATATTAACAGCCAAAGAACATGAACATCTATAGAGAAGAGTCTGTCTGTCTCTGCTGTACAAATTCACATTGCACTTTTCCTTTTGTTGAGACAGGGTCTCATTGTAGCCCAGGCTGGCCACCAACTTGCTATACAGGTGAGGATGACCTTGATGTTTTGATTCTCCTGGCTCTACCTCCTAAGTACTGGGATTACAAAAGGTATGCCACCATACTCGGTTTTATATGGTGCTAGGATTAAACCTGGTATTTCCTGCAAGCTAGGCAAGCACTCTACCGATTGAGTGACAGCCATAGCCACACAATACCCCTTTGATAATATTAACTAATAATAATATAAAAACTGCACCACCTATCTCCAGTAGTAACTACCATTTATTGTCCATGCTATGTCACAGATAATGTGTTTAGCTACATCTAACTTAAGAATCATCAGAGAGTAAACAGTTTTGGCTTTTCAGATCTCTCTTGCAACTATCAGACTCTGTTGTCACAGGCTGTATGTAAATGAGTGGATATGAGTGTATCCAGTGAAGCCAGTGTGGCATGGTGGCCCACCACTGTAATACTGATAGTGCGAAGGGGAGAATCACCAGTTCAAGGCCAGCCTAGGCTTCATAGCAAGATCTCTCTCAACAAGTACAATAAAAAGTCAAGAAAGTGATCAGTTTCAGGCTCCTGACCTAACTGAATGCTTATAGCTCTAAGAAGTAGCCATCATTCATTCATTTTAAAAAACTGTTTTTCAGGAATTCTGTTGGACCCTGAGGACAAAGGAATAAACTAAACAAGCAAAAATCCCTGTTCTGGGGAAGATTACATTTTGACAAGAGGAAGTAAACTATAAATAAGTTATAAAATCCATGAGCAAAAGCAAATGAGGAATATTAAAATCCAATATGCAATTTGATTTGGGAAGGCAGAAAATACTTTCCTGGGAAAGTGACAACTAGACAACTGTCACAAAGCGAAAGCGAGTTCACAATCGGCAAAGAAGCAAGCCATACAGAAATATGAAGGAGTCACCCCCCAGGGAGGGAGTGTGGACCGGACCAAGCCCCTGTGGCTGAGCATGCCTGACAGGGTCAGGAAGGCCCTGGAGGCGACAGCAAAGATGGGACATTGAAGCAGATAAGCTTAGAGAGTAGGTGTGGCAAAGACAGCAGGCTAGAGGCAGGATAAAGTCACTACAGTGATACAGTCACTACAGAGAATGAGAAGCAATTGCAGGGCTAGAGCCAGTAATCATAAGTCATGGCTTCAGTTACTCTTTTGAAAATAAACTGGGCGGTAGAAGAAAGAGAATTGAAGCGAGGAGACCCTCTCTGCAGCTAGTGCCAGTCTAGACGAGGAAACTAGAAGCTTTGGTGCTATTAGTATAGGTGAGGAGACAGGCCAATGATACTTTCTTCAGAGAGAACCAGATTCTCCAAGGTTTTGTCCTGAATACTGGAAACTTGAAGTTACCATAAAATGATTTCATTATTCCCACTAAACATTTCTTCCTTTTGGGGTACACCTTCTTTTCTTCCCCCTTTTTTTTTTAAAAAACTCCAATTCAATATAGATTGCACTAAAAGGAAGAACTTCCCGAAGATCTCACCCTGCTCCTACTGGTTCATCACTGAGTCTTTATGAGAGCTTTCATAAGGGGGCGGAGTCCTCTTCCTCCCACAGAGATGTTTCTTTCTGTATCCCTTGAATCTGGACCGCCTCATGAGAGCTTTTGACTAACAGGACTCTAGCAAATTTGAGGCATTTTTGCTGATGCTGAGACAGAGGCCATCCTGTAACAGAATCCAATCTGGCCTGCTATCTGGAGGATAAGTATCCACATGGAGAACTAAGGCATCTGGCCAACTGTAAGACGTGTGACTGAGGCCATTCAAACCAGCTGACCAAAGAGCTCAAGCTAGGCTAAACCAGAAGAACGGCCTGGCAGATCTAGAGAACCATAGCTGAATGGTAGTTGTCTCAAGGCATTTAATTTGGGAGTCTTTTTTATACAGGCACAAACTAACTGATACAGTTTTAAAGTGGCACAATTTTCTAAAAGAATGGATGTAAGAAAGGTGAAAAATGAAGACAGAGAAAAGAAGGGAAAGGGGAATATATAACAAAATAATGTTGGAAAGGTAGCTGTTTTGGGATTTGATATCTTAAATTTTTTTCATTGATTTTTTTTTGTTTTGGGGTGTGTGTGTGTGTGTGTGTGTGTGTGTGTATGTGTTGAGACAAGGTCTCACTATGTAGCCTTGGCAAACCTCAAACTCACTATGTAGACCTAGCTGGCCTTGAACTCAGAGATCCTCCTGTTTCTGCCTCCTGAGTGCTGGAATTAAGGTTTGAGCTGCCACACTAAGCTCATTGCTATTTTAATTGTGCAAAACATGACCCCTTTCTCCTCCACATACCTGTAAAGCAAAGTGGAGAAGAGCAAACTACCAAAGTAAATACAGATCATTTCATATCTGTACTATCTACCCTTTGGGCCAAAATAAATTTTCTTAAGTGTAAGATTTATACCTTACAAATCTGACATAGAAATTGAGAAACACCTTTTTTTAAAAATGCTGGCATCCCAGGCACAGACTACTACATAGTGTAATGTATACTAGAGCCCCAAGCTCTTGGTAAGACTCTGAACCATTTGCTGCATACCAGAGCCCACTGAAGACTGGCCCATATCCCTTCCCCTTCACACACAGGGCACACTTCTGTTTGAACAGGGGTTGACAGGGCAGAGAGTAGGAACTTGGTGTCTTAATACTTCCTGCAACAGCCCTTCAGTTTTTCTTTCTTTTCCCAAAAGGTCTGTCTATATTCTCAGACAAAAAGGCCACTCTGCTCTTGCCTGTGTCTCTCTACTGTCTACTTGACTCTCTCAACCCCTTTCTCCAACACCATACTATCTGCTACTTCTCCATCTGACTGTCCCTCTCCTCAGGCTGTAAGTGTAGCCCTTAGAAACGCCCCCATGACCAGCTTAAGACAGGCTGTCTACACATCACAGCTCTAAGATTGCTTTCCCCAGTTCTACCCCCACTGCATCATGTTCACATGCCAAGCTTCTGACACTTCCCCACCAAGGGCTGTCCTCAGGTCAGAAGTGAGCTCTCATTTCCTAATCCCACTGCATCTCATCTTTCTGCATCATCAGGCTTTTTGATCTTACATGCCTTGATGAAATCTCTCCCCGGGGCTTCTGTGACAACATAATTTCCTAACACCTTTCCACTAATGTATCTCCTCCCCTTTATTTCCTGTCGCCCTTTTGCTTGATATACTTTTGCCCTTGGCAACAGCAAGCTTCTACCTACTTCTCCCAAACATAGCTCACCTACATTTCTGCTGCCCAGCCAACACTTACTCCTGAGTGTCCCAAAGAACCTCAAATACACACTGGTCAGAGCTGCCTTCCTCCTCTTACCTCCAAATACCTTTCTCCTCAAAGGCTCCTGCAGCCACAATGATACCTCATAAGTCAAACTGGGAGCCTGAAGGGTTCTTTGACTCTTCTCCCTCCTTGGTACTCAGTCTCACAGACCCCTTCTCTTCCCTTAACCACCACCTTGCTGTAGGTCCTCTCCAGTTCTCCGGCAGAGTAGCAGCTCTCACATGGGTGACAGCACCAGCTCCCCACCCCCAACTCACCCATGCACTCACCCCTTAACAGGACACTTGTCTCAGAGGCAAATGTTTTTAAGGGCTTTAACTAAAAATGAAATCCCAACTCATTAGCCTGGAAGTCAGGGCTCCTGGCAAGCAGGACTGGATTTCCCACACATCTCATTCACATACCTTATATCCCAAGAAAAAGATACACACGCCCCAAACATGCCCGAAGGCACTTCACTGCCTTTGCTCAAGCTCTGTCCTCTATCTGCAATGCTGTTCTCTACTTGAAATTTTACTTTCAGCCCCTTCCATCACTTACAACCTGTAGGCTGAGTTCATCACCTGTGACTAATACTGATCAATCATGCCTACATAATGAAGCATCCATTAAACCCAAAAGAATCTGGCTAAGAGAGCGCCCAGATTGTGAAAATGAAGGAATCATGTACATGCAGAGTAGTGTTCCCCAATTCCATGGCAAGGACGTCCCTGTGTCCAGGGCTTTCCAGACAGCACACACAGCTCTTTATCTGTCTGTTCATAGGCATCCATTAAAATCTGTATTATTCATGTGTAATGCAGTAAATGAACAAATTTTTTCTAATAAATATAAGTAAGTAAGGTTTCCCTGCATTCTTCCAGCTCCTTTAGCAAATTAACCAACCCTGAGAAGAAAGTAGGCAGTCTGAATATAGGTAGTCTGTCACTGCACAGGCAGCAACACAGAACCTGCAAGTGGCTTTAAAAGGGGGTGGCCTTGTGTCACTCAGCTCTTAGTTTGCAGGATCTGAAACTATCTCCCAGCAGCCTGGCAAGACTGAATGGAGTTAATGGGCGCCCGCTGATGTTTGCTGGAGAGAGATATTTGCAGCAGAATGCTGTGTTGAGTTGGTCAGAGAGACTGGGAAAAACACTTCCCTTTGTTTTTCCTAACTAATTTCCCAAACAGATGACATGAAATGGAAAAGTAAAGATAGTGATGGCAGCTTCCCCATACTGACCAGGTTCTGCATGCTACCTCTGTGCTGAAATCCTAGTGTATCTGTTAACCTACATCTTGCTGACAGGAAAGAGATGGGGGTGGGAGTAGGGTGGACATCAACACAGATAGGCTAAGTAATGCTCAAGGAGAAACAGCAAAAAGGGTGAGGAAAGTCTGGCTTCGGAGCGCCACAGTTCCCTCACCAAATTCCCACAGATGCTCTGCTTTCCAAAGATTATTTTACATATGGGCAAAAACATGTGAGCATACAGAGGAAACTCACTGATAATACAGAAAATCTCTAAGGACAAAGGACACTGATTCTCATCTCATCTCACATCTCCTATAATGAAATTTGATTTTGCCATTGGTGTTGCTTTGTGGTTTGGGGCTTTTGTAGTATGGTCTCACTATGTAGGCCAGGCTGCTCTTGACTTCATGCTTTTCTTGCCTCTGCCTCTGGAGTTCTGGGATTATAGCTTGTGCCACCAAGCACAGCTTAAATCTGGATTACCAAAAAGTGTCCTGATTTTCCTTCCCTGCTCTTTAAATGAAGTATCCCTTTGGAATTCACGCCCTCTGTGGGTCCCTTCTGTTTTCCCTTTAGCCATCTGCTGTTCAGTTTACACCTGTGTGAGGGAAGACTCAAGGGAAGCAGAGATGCCAACTGGTCCGTCCACCAGAGTGAGGTCTCAAAGCCCGGGAAGAAAGAAAACTTAAAAATGCAGAACTTGTGGCTCATGACAACATAACTTCTAAAACTTCCTGAGTGCTCAAAAAAGGGTTGTAGAAATGCTTACCTTTTAACTTCAAACTATTTTCCAGTGCTATAAAATTTTCATAGAAGATGAAATATATCTGAGAATAGTTGGTCTCAAAAAACTGCTTAAGATCACTTGCATCCACATTATCTGAAAAGAGAAGTTGGCATTTACGACATTATTAGGATTCACAAACATTTTCAGAAATGAAAGAAAATAAAGCTAGTCTTACTCCCTCGTGAGACAAAACAAAAGAGTGTTCTCACTTGGCTATTCCCCTAAGAGAGCTCTGGCCTGCACAGTGGGCACCACCCACACACGAATGTCCAGGAAACTGTAAGGCCCACCTAAGAAGGCCAGATCTGATGAGGGAAAGACCCTCACAGAACCAGTTTGGAGGAAGTCTGGGGAGTTTTCTTTGGGGAGGAGACACGGAGACCCCTGGAAAAAGCAGCTTTGACAGGGGTCTCAAAGAGGGACCATCCTGTGGACTTGTGAAAAGCAACTTGTGGAGGTCTTCCAGAGATCAGGCCCTCCTTCTCCACCACCACAGTGCTGTCCAAGTGACCTAGTGCACATTCCCAACACACCCTTTCCCCCACTCACCTAGGTGCCCTGCCCTCACTCCACCTCAATACTGTGGATCATGTGCTCCTGTCGTGACACAGAGTTCTGCTACGACCAGGGACTACATGCCAGAGAGGCAGATGGTATAGTTACCATTCCCACTGGGGTTCCTTCTTCCCAAAGGCCTGATCAGCCCAGGCCAGAAAAAAAACAAAAAAACAAAAATAAAAACCCTCATCAGAGCAGCTGTCCACTTTCAACAAGCCTTTGTTCATTCCTCTAAGCCAATGATGTTGCTAGTGCCATTTACAGGGTTCTGACTGTTGGAGTTAATGCTTTAGAATTATATATCTACGGGAAATTAGAAACATTCTCAAAGCTCTAAATATTACTCAAGAGAAGAAACTGATACTGCCATTCAATCCGTAGCAGGATAGTGCTGTCTGTGTTTATAGTCCTAACTAATACTGTAATCCATGTGGCATGATCACTGCAATGTTCAAGTCCATACAGCTAACAGTAACAGTCAGCATGGATCTACAGAACTGACTTCCTTTAGTTACCATATAAAGCCCTTTGTGTAAAAATTATTACACATTCTTTAAAATAACGCACACAAGATGTTTATTAAACTCACATGATCTGTCAATTTCATATTATTTCTACAGCCCAAAATAAAACATCACCAAACAGTAGAAATTCCTAGTAGCTGAAAATTTACCTGGGTAATTACAGGCAACAGTGAAACTAATATCATCAACTGACATAAGCATTATCATTTGTTTGGCCATGTTCTTGCTTACTTACTTATCTATTGACTTATTTAGAGACAAGGTCTATAAGCCAAGATGGCCTCAAACTCTCTATACAGTGAAAGATGACCTTGAACTTATGATCCTCCTGTCTCCACCTCTCCTAAACCACATCTGGTTTTCTGTGGTACTATGGATTAACTTATTGTCTCACACATTCTAGGCAAGCACTCTACCAACTGAACTACATCCTCCTCTCTGACTACTATCATTCTTAGGAGTAACATTATCTTTCCAGGAATCCTTGACAGCCTTAGTCAGAATCTGCCTGTTATAACATGACATTTCTGGTCTAATGGCCTCAGGATTTCCTGCTTGCAGGCATACAAGTGGTAGTCACTATCTTATCATTGACTTTTGTAGAGTGTTTCTTTTATTCAATTGCTTTAAGAAAATATTAGTAAAATTGTGTTCTAGACTCAGGGGTATAGTAATGTGTGAGTGGGACTGTAGGTTCTGTGAGGGCGGGGCTGTAGCTAACAGAGAAGACCTGATTCGGTCAGGAATCCAGCATGCCCTGGGGAATGAAGAAGTGTGACATGTCCCAGGACAAGGGAAAAAGTATGTGGAAGTCACACAGGGGAAGTACACACTGGTAGGAAGGGCTGTGCATGTTTTAACTACAGTTCAAACTTAGTGGCAAGTCTGTCGATAAATGCTTTTTCTGTAGAGGACTAAGCACAGGTGGCCCAGTCACCTCTCACTGTCAACTGAAACACAACACCCCACTGCCAGTCTGTCTACACCTCCACTGATCAATATCCCTAATAACCACCTCCACTGCACACCACTTAGGCTCTATACTCTACCCACAATGACATCTTTCCAGTCCTCAAAGTTCCCAAACATATTTTCCACTTGGGTCCCCTCAGGGACACTGGCTTGACTCCCAGATCCCAGACATTGGTTTGGCCTCATCTTTCAGAAATGGGATTGCTCCTTAATACCTCAAGAAATCCACAAATGTCTCAAGTGTCACTCTGTACTTTTCATCCCATCTACTGCCTTATTCCTTAGAGGGAAAGGGCTTCAGCCTCAGGAAGCCACAAGAAACAAATAGCCCCTTAGCAGGGCATCAGTGCAACCCAGAGAAGTTACTGTATGATCAGTACTCTCCCACCTTAGCCCTTGACTCCCTAGTCCCTCCAAGACATTCAAAATACCAGCAACCAGAACAAAGTCAGGCCTCAAGAACTTTGAGGGACTTCCACATAACTCTTTCCTGAAGCCCAAAATCCAGGTAGCAGCCACCTTTCTCCCTCAACCAACCAGAGTCTTTCTTGTTGATAAGAGCTTAAAGTTCTCAGTGGCAGGACAAGTAGATAACTTCAAGGTCATCTAACAAGTAGTAAGTCAGGCATAGCACTAGTTAACACAATCAGTTTATCTATAGCAGCTGAGAACCTCACTGTCCTGGGAGTCCTCATCAAAGATTGCATTAAAATGGGCCAAAATACCACTTACTCAGTTACATCTGTATCTTTTGTGACCCTTACTAGAACAGAAATGGCATGAGGGCAGGAATTCTACCTGCATTGTTGACTGCTGCCCCTTCTACCCCAGGGAATAACTTGGGGTATAGAAATCCATTTGTTTAGTGAATGACCAAAGTCTGAATATCAAATGTTTTACACCTCTAGTCCAAGATCCAGAGAATACAGAGTAAAGAGAGATCTTAGAGAAGGGACTGGAGTTTAGCATCCTAAAGGGGGGGGAGGAAAGATTGGAATAAAATGAAGTATTTTTTAGCAGGGCTAACATTAAGAAGCATAGAGATATAAAGGAAGGGTTTGCTCAGGGCTGGGGGGACTACCATAACCACAGACTTCATTTAGCAGGCTTTTTTGGCTAATTCATTCACTTATTGTGCCCTATCAATGCCAAGTAATACTCTTCCTAGTGCTTAGAAATTAAAAGCCAAGGTCATCAAGATATCCAAGTAAACATAACACACCAGCAGGGTACCAAGGCTGAAGCCCATGCTGGGTACCAAAGCAAGGACTAGAAACCCCACACAGGCAGGTTTGGGATAGTAACAATGCATATACTTATGGTCTGCTTTATGCTCTACAAGGTATTTCATGAGTGATTCTATTCTACCTTTCCTAGAAGGCCGTGAAATAGATGGAGGAGTATGTAGGGTGGGGAGCACCCTTAAATGAAGAACTCCCTGTTCACCTGTCCAAAATGACAAGCTAGGAAGTCATGGCCTAGGTAGAACTCATGCCTGAGCTTCTGACTTCAAAGCAAAACTAGAAAGCAGATCAGAAATTTAGAAGAAATAAACGACCCCCTGGAGTTATGCTGAAAAGCCATAAGAAAAAGAACAGGAAGTGCTCAAAGTAAGAAGGGAGAGCAGTGAGCAACATCAGCAAGAGCGTGGAGCAGACCTCCCACAGCCTCAGGAGGAGCAGCAAGACGACAGGGCCAGGTGGAGACCACACTGACCCTCCAGCTCTGACAAGGAAGCATGCTTTCCATCTTATCATCATCATGCAACTCAGCCAAGGACTTCCAAAAAAAAAAAAAAAAAAAAAAAAAAAAAAACCACAGGGAAGCAAATGCCAGGCAGCCCTGCAGAGCTGGAGGTCCTTTCTCAGTTCCTGAAGTACTACCCTCTACTACTCTCGCTCCTCCACCACCAGCAGCCAGTCCACTGCAGTACTTTCCCATCATCTCTCAAAGGTACTCAACCCTTTGCACTCCTGTCATTAAACCTGATACTGACGATTCTTTCTCCACTTCTAGTTGGAAGTCAACAGAAAAAGCAAAGGGCACAACCTTTGCAGCAGACTGGCTTCAAGCACAGAAACTACAAGGTCTGAGATAAATGAAGTAAAACACTGTTCCTCAATTTCATATGAACACCAGAACTAACAATGGTCCCTATACTGCAGGGCAATGGTGATGAGAAAACAAGCATGTGCAGAATGCTTGTGGAATATCAGTTGGCATCATCTAAATGTTAGTTGTTTTTATAATTACTTAGCTTCTGGCAAAGCCCTCTCACCAGGAAGAAATAACACAACCTCACCTATGTATGAAGCCATCAAATTCAATGACTCAAACATTTATACACTTAATGAGGCCATCCCACACTAAATAGTACTTAATCCCAACTCAACAGTAAATACTGCCAACAAGCATACCCATGACACCAGCCAAATTCTCCTTCCATCTCTTTCTACACATAATCCTTCTCAATGGCAAGTCTATCACTCTTCAGTAAGTAACACATCTCTGTAATACCAAATGAAGGGAAGCCTTTAGCTCACTCAGGAGTCCCCACTGGACTCAACAGTAGAGAAAGAAACCGAAGCCCAGCTCCTCCATGAAAGAGGGGACTGTCAGCCTCCTTTAACCATAGCCCAAAGCTAAGAGCCACCTCGTTCTAGACAAGTATCTGTATGTACTTTCTATTTTAATCCAGTTTCCTGGATAATGTTACTGAAGACCAGATAATCAAAACCATAGACTTGTCACAGTGAAAAAAGACAAATGAAGAACTCAAGGTGACTTACTAAAACAAACAACCCTTTAGAAACACTTGGTAAGAAGAAGAAAATTGGAGGCCAGGAAGGTGACTCAGTCAGTGTTTCCCCAGCAATCCTAAGGACTGAGTTCAGATCCCCAGCACCTATGAAAGAACCATGTGCAGCATACACTGTAACCCTAGCACTTTTGGGTAGAGTCAGATTTGGGGCTTGCTGGGTAGCCAGTCTAGCTGCATCACCAAGCTCCAGTTAAGTGAGGGATCCCCTCTCAAGGCAA